AAGTGGGATTTATTCCTTGAATGCAAAGATGGTTCAACATGTGAAAATTATCTCTGTTCATAGACATGATCTTATATGTAGACATGCCTAAAGATTCCACACACACAAAAAAATCTGTTACAGCTAATAAATGAATTCAGCAAAGAAGCAGGATACAAAGTCAACACACAAAAATTAGTTGCATTTCTTCACACTAGCAACGAACAATCTGAACAGGAAATTACAAAAACAATTCCATTTACAATAGCATCAAAAAGAATAAAATACTTAGAAATTAACTTAACCAAGGATGTGAAAGCCACAATGAAAACTACAAAAATTTGCTGAAAGAAATTAAAGAAGACATAGATGGAAAGATATCCCACGTTCATGGATTGGAAGATTTAATATTAAGATATCCATACTGCAGAAAGGGATCTACAAATTCAATGCAATCCTTGTCAAAATCCCAAGGACATTTTTTGCAGAAATAGAAAAACTCATCCTAAAATTCATATGGCATCTCAAGGGACACTGAATGACCAAAACAATCTTGAATAAGAAGAACAAAGTTGGAAGACTTACACTTCTTGATCTCAAAACTTATTACAAAGCTACATTAATCAAAAAGTGTGGTACTGGCATAAAGACAGACAAATAGACCAATGGGACAGAATAGAGAGCCCAGAAATAAGCCCTCACATATATGGTCAAACGATTTTCAGCAAGGATGCCAAGACTATTCAATGGGGAAAGAACAATCTTTTCAACAAATGGTGCTGGAAGACGTGGATACCCACACGCAAAAGAATGAAGTTGGACCCTTACTTAGCATCATATACAAAACTTAATTCAAAATGGATCAAAGACCTAAATATAAGACCAAAAACTATAAAGCTATTAGAAGAAACATAGGGCAAAAGCTTCATGACATTGGATTTGGCAATAATTTCTTGGATATGACACCAAAGCACAGGCAACAAAACAAAAAATAGACAAATTGAACTTTAAGAAAAGTTGGTGGGTTTTTTTGGTGAGGAAGATTGGCCCTGAACTAACATCTGTTGCCCATCTTCCTCTTTTGGCTGAGGAAGATTAGCCCTGAGCTAACATCTGTGCCCATCTTCCTCTATTTTGTATGTGGGATGCTGCCACAGCATGGCTTGATGAGTGGTGCATAGGTCCGCGCCCGGGATTCGGACCTGCAAACCCCGGGCCACTGAAGTGGAGCGCGCAAACTTAACCACTATGCCACCAGGCCGGCCCCAAGAAGAGTTTTTAAATTTGTGCATCAAAAGACAATATCAACAGAGTAAAAAGGCAACCCACAAAATAGGAGAAAGTGTTTGCAAATCATATATCTGATAAGGGATTAATATCCAGAATATATAGAGAAATCCTAAAACTCAACAACAAAAGACAACCTGATTCAAAAATGGGCAAAGGACTTACATAGATATTTCTCCAAAGACAATATACCAGTGGCAAATAAGCACATGAAAAGATGCTGAACATCACTGATCATTAGGGAAATGCAAATCAAAACTACAATGAGGGGCCAGCCAGGTGGCGCAAGCGGTTAAATGCTCGCACTCCGCTGCGGCAGCCTGGAGTTCGCCGGTTTGGATCCTGGGCACGCACTGACACCCTTGTCAAGCCATGCTGTGGCAGCGTCCCATATAAAGTGGAGGAGGATGGGCATGGATGTTAGCCCAGGGCCAGTCTTCTTCAGCAAAAAGAGGAGGATTGGCAGATGTTAGCTCAGGGCTGATCTTCCTCAAAAAAAAAAACAAAAAAAAACTACAGTGAGATACCACCTCACTCCAATTAGGACGATACTATCCAAAACATAGAAAATAACAAGTGTTGGCGAGGATGTGGAGGAATTGGAATCCTTGTACGCTGTTGGTGGGAATGTACAATGATGCAACCGCTGTGGAAAACAGTCTGGAGGTTCAGAATCACAGAGCTGCAGAAAGGAATGAAAACCGTGTCAAGGGTAAACCTCAGGATAAATGCAAAAGAATATTGATTGTTTAAAGCAACAATAATAACCATGTCTTGGGGCGTTTCCACCTCTGCTGAAGTAAATATGTGACAACAGCAGCTCAGCAGGGAAGACGGAAGTGAATGGAGCTAAAGCATGGTGAGGCTCATGTATCCATTATGTATCCATTGTGTATCCGTTATAGGACAAATAGAAACAAACAGCTGGTGGACTTAACCCACTGCATTAACAAGGACTCTCAGTGTAAATGCAACCAACACTCCAACTAACAGAAAGAGATGGCAAGACTGAGCAAGAAGCAGGACGGAGCCATTAACACATGCTCTTTATGAGACCCACGTCAAAACGTAAAGGCCCCAATGGACTGAGGGAAAAGGCTGAGAAAGATATACACCTCGCAAACACTAACCAAAAGAGCTAGTGTGGCCATGCTAATATCATAAAAAGTAGAATTTAAGGCAAGAAGTATTAATAGAGATAAAGAGCACATTTCATAACGATAAAAGGGTCCAATCGAAGGAAGACAAAACAATCCTGAGTTGGATGTCCTGACTAATTGGATCAAAAATATAAAGAAAACAATCACAGAACTAAACAGAGAAAGAGAAGAACCCTCAAACATAGTTGGAGACTCAGCTCGCTCAGTCCCTCAGAGAACAAGCCAGCAGAACAGTCAAGAAGGATATGGGTGTCAATTTAGCTGACATTTTTAGAACACACCACCCAGCAACGGCAGATGCACGCTGTGTTCAGGTATATGTGAAACATTTACCACAACAGACTACATGCGGGACCAAGAGCAAGTTTCAACACAAATCATGTTTATTCGTTCTCTGTAGTGGACGTCTATGTACTAAAAGAACCTTGATCCTTTTCTCTTATCTTTCACAAAATTAATTCAAGATTAATTAATCATAAAAAGCTAAAAGCGAAAGGAAAAACAGTAAAACATCTAGAAGAAATCATAGAACATCTTCATGAGCTTGGATAGGCAAAAGTTTCTTAAACAGGATCCTGAACACCCTACCTAATAGAAAAAGTCAAAACACTGGACTTCATCAATGAATACCATTAAGAGGTAAAAAGACAAGTCACGAAATGGGAGAAAGTATTCTTAATGCATATATACAGCAAAGGACTTGATGAAGAACATATGGAGAACTCTCAGAAACCAATAAAAAAAGAGACAGCCCACCTGATTCTTTTCTCCAACCTGATTTTTAAATGAGCAAAAGATGTGAACCAGCACGTCACAAGAGATCCAAATGACCAACAAGCACATGAAACAACGTTCAGCACCATCAGTCATCAGAGAAGTGCAAACTAGGACCACAAGAGATGACCGAGAAGGGACAACTAAAAGGACCGACAGTGCCCAGCGTTGTCTGCGTCACGGAGCAGGTGGAGCGTGCACTCACTGCTGTTGGCCTGTGAAGCTGTACAACCACTTTGGAAAGTGTTCAAAAGCTGGAGGTCACCCAGTTGCCTGTCCACATCAGAATGAGTAAATACTTGGTGGTCTATGGACAGAATGGGATTCTACGCAGCATGGAAAAGAACCAGCTTCTGCTACATGCACCGACTCGGATGAACCTCACAGACTTTGTGTCGAGCAAAAGTCGTAATCGAGAGAGCACGGCCTGTATGATTCCATGAATATGAAATCCCACAGTGAGACTGGCCAAGGGGGTAGGAGCCAGAACAGGTGTGACGTCTGTGGGGGTTCTGCCTGCGAAGGTCACCAGGGGCCTGTTGGGGGCTGGAAGTGCTCTTTGTCTTGATCTGGGTGGTGGCTACACAGGTGAGCACATACACAAACTTCCATCCACAAACAAACACCATTAGTGCCCGGCATGCCCTTCCTGTAGTCATATCTCCACAGAACAGGAAAGAGGAAAATACCTCTTAATCCCAAAGAATGAAAGAAGGACGGAAAGGACAGAAACGACCCTGGGGCGGTGCGTGTGGGCTGCGGGCAGACCCACCAAAACGAGGGCTCTTACTTTCCTGACTTGTTCCCTTGGCCAACAGCTTCTCATACTGTGGGGAGCCTGGGCTGCCTCCGCCCCAGCTCCTCTCTGTTGGCCGCTGGGAAGCGGGTGCTGGGCCCCTGGCCCTGTGAAGGACTCGGCCCTCAAGAGACAGGAGGAGAGCCAGGCTCAGCCTTGGGACCCCAGGCGTTGAGGGGCAACCAAGGTCATGGAGACTCAGGAGGCCTGGGCCAGGCACGGCTCTGCCAGTCCTGATGACTCAGAGCCAGCCAGGTGGCCTGGCCGCGAGACAGGACAGATGGGCCTGCCTGCCTGTCTCCAACCACTGTTGTCGGGTTCAAATGAGGTAAAGGACAGGAAGGGAAGTGGAAGGTGCTTAAGGTAATGTTACCCAAAGGCGCCCCCAAGGAGGATGTCATCTTATCAGCCAACAGGGCCTGTGGGATGGCCTGGGCCCCAGCACCCAGACAGGAACCCTAATATCCAGAAAGGTGTCCCAATGACCAGACGATGCCTCACATACCCATACAGGTGCCCTAGATGTCCAGACAGGCACCCCAATGCCCAGACAGGTCCCCCAGATGCCCAGACAGGCACCCCAATGCCCAGACAGGTGCCCCATATGACCAGACAGGCACCCCAATGCCCAGACAGGTGCCCCAGATGCCCAGACAGGCACCCCAATGCCCAGACAGGTGCCCCAGATGACCAGACAGGCACCCCAATGCCCAGATAGGCACCCCAATATCCAGACAGGCATCCAACTCCCAGACAGGCACCCAATGCCCAGACAGGTGCCCCAGAGGCCCAGACAGGCACCCCAATGTCCAGATAGGCACCCCAACTCCCAGACAGGCACCCAACGCCCAGATGGGTGCCCCAGAGGTCCCAGAGGCTGGACTTCCCCAGACAACCCCTCGAGTCCACCCGACATCCTCGACTAACGTGAGCCCGGGGCACCTGCTCCCTCCTGCTGTCAGAGCAGCAGGCATGCCGAGAGCTCTGAACGGGGCGCGTCTTACTGGACGAGGGAGTAGTACTGCTGGGTCAGGTCCTTCCACTCGTCCTCTGTGAGGTCCTGGGTGGTGTCCTCGGAGACGTCGATGTCCTTGTGCTCCAGCTGCCCCAGGTAGGCCTGGCACACCCTGCACGCCATGTCCACGACCTGCCCCGAGAGGCCTGTGAGCTTCGATCCGTCATTCTCAGGACCTGAAACCCAAGCACAGGCACACGGAGTGTGACTGCACCTGCCCCGTGAATGGCACTACCTGGCACACTGGACAAAGGCCACCCCACCCCTCGTGCCTCAAGGCTTCGTGGGGACAGCATGCGATTCTCTGGGCGGCCACCCTGGACCCACACCCGTGTCTGGGCTGGGACTGCTCCCCTCCCGAAGCTGCCCTCCCACTGTTCCGTGCCCACAAGCCCTGTGGGTGGCTGGTAAGAGCATCTCCCTGTATTTCCAGTGCTTCCAGAGCACTCGCCCATGTGGGCTCGCCGGCTCCGTGTGTCTATCCTCTTACACAGCATCTCACTCTCCTCTGGACATGGGGCGAGATCACTGCTGGGACTCGGGAGGCACTGAATGCAGGCACTGAATGAGGTCCCCTCATCAAGGTGGAGGTGGATCTCAAGTGGCCTCGCTCCCACACGAAGCAACACAGCCCCCAGGTTAGGATGTGAGAACGGACCCAGAACAAGCACCAGTCCGTGTGGCTCTGGGGTAGGAGCCTGGAGGTAAACCCAGGAACAAGGCTGCTTGGAAAATGCCTGGAAACAACTCCACAAACAACGGGGGGTTAGGCCCTGCGCTGGCTGAGGCATCGCCCAGGAGGCAGCCTTGATGGAGAGCAGGCCCCACGGCCCTGAGATTAGGACCCAGAGAAAGCGCTCGCGTTTACATGGTAGGTATAGAGATTACAATGTGCATTTAGAAAGATGTATTGAGGTGAAATTCACATAACATAAAAATAACCATTTTAGAGGCCGGCCTGGTGGTGCAGTGGTTAAGTGTGCATGCTCCGCTTCGGCGGCCTAGGGTTCACAGGTTCGGATCCTGGGCGTGCACCGACGCACCGCTTGTCAAGCCATGCTGTGGCAGCATCCCATATAAAGTGGAGGAAAATGGGCACGGATGTTAGCCCAGGGCCAATTTTCCTCAGCAAAAAGAGGAGGATTGGCAGATGTTAGCACAGGGCTGACCTTCTTCACACACAAAAATAAATAAAAAATAACCATTTTAACGTGAAAAGTTGTACTTCTGGTTTCTGATTTGACACATAAGGAGCTTGGAAGTTGCCATTCCATCTTAACAAGTAAAAAGCTGGAAAAACTGAAGAATCAACAACTCTTCTTAGATCCATCAGAGAAGTGAGGTCCCAGGCAGATTGCTGCCCCCAAACTGGAGAGACCGACTGGTGGGTACAGAAAACCACGCGTTCCTGGAGCAGGAACCTCCTCAGAAACCAGAGCCCAGGTGGGGGAACCAGAGCCAGGGTGGGAAGACCTGAACCATAACTGGTGGGTTGCTGGAGGGCGACCCCTACACTTCTGTCACTTTTACCTCCAGGAGCCTGACTGGTTTCTCACAGTGAATATCAGAGAAAAATCCCTGCATGATCTGGCAAGGGGAGGGGAAAAACATCCATCTTGAAACACACAGACCATTCTGCTCCTAACAAGGCTGCCCTCAGGAGAAGTAGTTACCAGAGCCTGACCAGCCTGGGGGAAGGGAAATACCCAACCCCAGTTCCCTCCAGCCTGTCCCACCAAAGGTGAAAAAACCTGAGAAGTGCTGGTGAAGTCCACAGTCCAGGGGCACAGGTCACTGAAAGACTGAGCCCTAATCACGGACTGCAGGACACTGCCCGCCCCCCCAACACACCTCACCACCACATCACTGAAGCCCTATTTACCACAGTTTCTTTTACCAGGATGTCTTATCCAGCCTTTAACAAAACATTACAAGGCATACTAAAAGAAAAAACACAATCTGAAGAGACAGAGCAAGCATCAGAACCAGACATGGCAGGGGTGTTGGAATTATCAGACCAGGAATTTAAAACAACTATGATCAATATGCTAAGGGCTCTAATGGAGAAAGTAGACAGCGTGCAAGAACAGATGGGCACTGTGAGCAGAGAGAGAGAAATTCTATGAAAGAACCAAAAAGAAATGCTAGAGGTCTAAAACACTGTAACAGAAATGAAGAATGCCTTTGATGGCTTACTAGTCGACTGGACATGACTGAGGAAAGAATCCCTGAGCTTGAAGATATAGCAACAGAAACTTCCCAAACTGAAAATCAAAGAGAAAAAGACTTAAAAAAAAAAAAAACAGAACAGAATATGGAAGACCTGGGGACAACTGCAAAGGCTGTAACGTATGTGTAATGGGAATACCAGAAGGAAAAGAAAGAAAAAGAAGAACAGAAGGAATATTTGAAAGCAATAATGACTAAGAATTTCCCCAAGTTAATGTCAGACAAACCACAGATCCAGGACTCAGAGAACACCAGGCAAGAAAAATACCAAAAACAAAACCAAAAAAGCAGAAGACAAACACCTAGGCATATCATATTCAAACTGAAGAAAATCAAAGATAAAGAAAAAATCTTGAAAGAAGGCAGAGGGAAAAAAAGCACATTACCTATAGAGGAAGAAAGATAAGAATTACATCTGACTTTTCAGAGTGGAGTGAAATATTTAACATGCTGAGAGAAAAAAAAACCCACCAACTTAGAATCCCATATCTTGGGAAATTATCTTTCAAAAGTGAAAGAGAAATAAAGACTTTCTCAGACAAAAAACGAAACAATTGGAATTTTTTTTGCCAGTAGAACTGCCTTGCAAGAAATACTAAAAGTCTTCAGAGAAAAGGAAAACTACAAAGATCAGAAACTCAGACCTACACAAAGAGAGTATTGGAGAAGGAATAAGTGAATGTAAAACAAAAAGTTATATTTTTCTTATTCTTAAATAATCTGACAGAACAAATAATTTAATAATAAGTGTTAAAAATAATAATAGCAACAATGTATCCAATGATTATAGCTATGGATCAGTGAAATGAATGACAACCATCATACAAGGCACAGGAGGGAAGAAGTAGGAACACTTTGTCATTATAAGATACTTGCACTACTGTGAAGTGGTACAGTGTTACTTGAAAGCGGAGCTGGATTCATTGTAAATGTATATTGCAAACTGTAGGGCAACCACTAAAATATATATATATATAAAGAAGTATAACTGCTATGCTAAGAAAGGAGAGAAAGTAGAATCATATAAAATGCTCAGTTAAAACCACAAAAGGCAAAAAAAGAGTAGAAGAAAAAATAGGAACAGAGAACAAGAGCAATGAATAGAAAACAGTAACACACATGGTGGCTATTAATCCAACTATGTCAGTAATCACTTTAAACATCAATGGTCTAAATACACCAACTAAAAGACAGAGATTGTAGAGTGGATCAAACAGTAAGACCCAACTGTATGTTTTCTACAACAAACCCACTTAAAATATAAACACACATACAGATTACAAGTAAAGGGATGGAGAAGTTATGCCATGCTGACATCAATCAGAAGAAAGCAGAGTGGCTATATTAGTTTCAGACAGAGAAGACTTCAGAGCAAGGAAAACTATCAGGTATAAAAAAGAACATCACCTAATGAAAAAGAGATCAGTTCTGCAAAAGACCTAACAATCCTTTATATGTATGCACCTAACAACAGAGCATCAAAATACATGATACAAAAACTGATAAACTGCAAGGAGAAATAGACGAACCCAATATTATAGTACGGGACTTCAACACTCCTCTATCAGTAACTGACAGATCCAACAGGCAGAAAATCAGTAACAATATCACTGAACTCAACAACACCATCAATCAGCTGGATACGAGGGACATCTATAGACTACTCCATCCAACAAAAGCAGAATACACATTCTTCTCAAGCTCACATGGAACATTTACCAAGATATATCACATTCTGGGCCATAAAACACACTTTAACAAATTTAGAAGAATAACAATCATACAATATGTGCTCTCAGACCACAGTGGAATTAAACTACAAATCATAAGAGAAAAATAGCTGGAAAGTCCCAAAATACTTGGAGATTAAACAATACACATCTAAATAACACATGGCTCAAAGAAACAAATCTCAAGAAAAATCTTTAAATACTTTGAACTGGGTGAAAATGAAAATATAACTTATCAAAATCGTGGGATTTAATGAAAGCAATGCTTAAAGGGGAATTTATAGAATTGAATGCACATATTAGAAAAGAAGAAAGACCTAAAATCAATTATCTAAGCTTCCACCTTAGGAAACTAGAAAAAGAAGAGAAAATAAAATCTGAAGTAAGCAGAAGAAAAGAAATAATAAAAATTATAGCAGAAACCAATGACATTGAAAACAGAAAAGTAATAGAAAAAAAGAACAATGAAACCAAAAGCTGATTGTTTGAAAAGATCAATAAAATCAATAACTACTCTAGCCAGCCTAAGAAAAAAAATATAAAGGACACAAATTATTAATATCATAAAGGAAAAAGGAGACATTACTACAGACCCCATGGACATTAAAAGGATAATAAAAGAATATTGTGAACAACTTTATGCCCACAAATTTGATAATCTAGGTGAAATGGACCAATTCCTTGAAAGACACAATCTACCAAAACTCACACAAGAAGAAATAGACAATCTGAATAGGCCTATTTCACTTACTAGTGATAGTAAATGATCTTGAATAGTCCTAGCTATTAAAGACATTGAATCAACAATTAATAATCTCCCAAAACAGAAAGCAACAGGCCCAGATGGTAAATTCTACCAAACACTCAAGGAGAAATTATACCAATTCTCTACAATCTCTTTCAGAAGACAGAAGCAGAGGGAATACTTCCTAACTCATTCTGTGAGGCCAGCATTACCCTAATACCAAATCCAGAAAAAGACATTACAAGGGAAGAAAAATACAGACCAAAATCTCTCATGAACATAGATGCAAAATCCTCAACAAAACAGTAGCAAATTGAATCCAACAATGTATAGAAAGTATTATACACCATAACCAAGTGGGATTTATCCCAGGTATGCAAGGCTGGTTCAACATCTGAGAATCAATTAATGCAATGCATCACATCAACAGGCTAAAGAACAAAAATCACATGATCATCTCAATAGACGCAGAAAAAGCATTTGACAAAATCCAACACCCATTCATGATAAAAACTCTCAGCAAACTAGGAATAGAGGGGACCTTCCTCAACTTGATAAAGAATATCTACAAAAAACCTACAGCTAACATTATACTCAATGGTGACAAACTAGAAGTTTTCCCACTAGGATCAGAAACAAGGCAAAGATGTCTCCTCTCACCACTGCTTTTCAACATCATAGTGGGAGTCCTAGCTAATGCAATAAGACAAGACAAGAAAAGGTACACAAATTGGGAAGGAAGAAATAAAACTGTCACAGATGACATGATGTCTACATAGAAAATCTGAAAGAATTGACAAAAACCCTCCTGGAACTAGTAAGTGATTATAGTCAATCACTTTCCTATACACCAGCAGTGAATAATTGGAATTTAAGTTAAAAACACCATAACATTTATATTAGCATCCCAAAAATGAAATAAATATATAAATAAATCTAACAAAATATGTACAAGATCTATATGAGGAAAACTACGAACTCGGATGAATGAAATCAAAGAACTAAATAAATGGAGAGATGGTCCACGTTCATGACTAGGAAAGACTCATGTCAAGATATCAGTCCTTCCCAATTTGACCTATAGAGTCAATGCATCCCAATCAAAACCCCAGCAAGTTATTTTGTGGCTATTGGAGACAGATTCTAAAGTTTATACGGAGAGGCAAAAGATCCAGAATAGTAAATACAATATTGAAGGAGAAGAACAAAGTTGGAGGATTGACACTCTCTGGATTCAAGAATTACTTTAAATCTACAATAATTAAGATAGTGTGGTATTGGTGAAAGAATAGACAAAGATATCAATGGAACAGAATAAAGAACCCAGAAATAGACCCACATAAATATGGTCAACTGATCTTTCACAGAGGAGGAAAGGCAACACAATGGGGAAAAGTCTCTTCAACAAATGGAGCTGGAACAACAGGACATTCACATGCAAAAAAATGAATCTAGACCCAGACCTTACACCCTTCACAGAAATTAATTCAAAATGGATCATAGGCCTAAGTGTGAAACACAAAACCATAAAACTCCTAGAAGATACATAGGAAAAAAACGAGATGAACTTGAGTATGGCAATGACTTTTTAGACAACACCAAAGGCACGATCCATGAAAGAAATAATGGATAAGCTGGACTCCATTGAAATTAAGCTGGACTTCTGCTCTGCAAAAGACATTGGAAAGAGAATGAGAAGACAAGCCACAGACTTGGAGAAAATATTTGCAAAAGACACATCTAGTAAAGGACTGTTATCCAGAGTATACAAAAAACTCTTGGAACTCAACAATAAGAAAACAATTAACCCAATTAAAAATTGAGCAGGGATCTGAACAGACACCTCACCAAAGAAGACACACAGATGGCAAATCAGTATGTTAAAACATGCTCCACATTATACATCATCAGAGAAATGCAAATAAAAACAACGAGAACCAGCCCTGATGGCCTAGTGGTTAAAATTTGGAGCTCTCACTGCTTCAGCAGCCCGAGTTCATCTCCCGGTCGCAGAACCACACCACCCGTCTGTCAGTTGCCGTGCTGCGGCAGTTCACGCACAAGCGCTAGAAGGACTTAACAACGAGGATATACAACCATGCATTGGGGCTTTGGGGAGGGAAAAAAAAAGAGGAAGACTGGCAACAGACGTTAGCTCAGGGTGAATCTTTCCCTGCAAAACGACGACGACAACAACAACAAGGAGATGTTACTACTCACCTATTAGCACGGCCCAAATCCAGAACACTGGCAACACCAAATGCTGACAGGATGCAGAGTAACAAGAAGTCTCCTTCACCGCTGGTGGGAGCGCAAAGCCGTACAGCTGCTTTGGGAGGCAGTTTGCTGGTTTTTCACCAAACTACATATATTCTCACCATACGATCCAGCAACTGGCCTCCTTGGTGTTTACCCAGAGGAGGTGAAAACTTACGTCCACACAAAAACCTGCACATGGATGTTTACAGCAGCTTTACTCATAATTGCCAAAACTTGAGGCAACCAAGACGTCTTTCAGTAGGTGAAAGGATAAATAAACTGCGGCACATCCAGACGATGGAATATTATTCAGTGCTAAAAAAATGAGCTACCAAGCCATAAAAAGACATGGAGGAATCTTGAATGCATATCACTAAGTGAAAGAAGCCAATCTGAAAAGGCTGCATACGGTATGATTCCAACTATGTGACATTCTGGAAAAGGCAAAACTATGGAGACAGCAGAAGGAATAGCGGCTGCCGGGGGTGAGAGAAGGGGAGATGAACAGGTGGAGCACGGGGGATTTTTAGGGCAGTGAAACTACTCTGTATGATACCATAATGGTGGATACATGTCGTGGTACGTTTGTAAAATCCCACAGAATGTACAACACCAAGAATGAACCCTAATGTAAACTGTGGTTCTGCATGATGACGACGTGTCAATGTAGGTTTATCGATCGTAACAAATGTCCCATGCTGGGGGAGATGCTGACAGTGGGGGAGGCTATGGGGGGTGGCGGTATGTGGGAGATCCCTGTACCCTCTGCTCAACTTTGCTGTGAACCTAAAACTGCTCTATTAAAGTGAACAACAACCATGAAAAAAGCTTATTTGGGTTTTGCAGGCCTAAACCACGGTGGCCCACGTCTCCCTGCACCACGCAGGAGCCCGTTCCCTGGGGTCCTCTTCCATGGGATTCTTTGGCAGAGACTGGGGGTGGGGACGGAGCCACCGTCCCGTCCTAGACATGCAGCCCCCCACCCCTCCTGTCACTGTCCTCCCAGAGTGTGCAGCCTGGGCCCCACACATACCCTTCCTGTTGCTGGGGTCACTGTCACTGGCCTCCTCCCTCCTGCTCTTGGGTTTGCTCCTGTCGCAGGTCTGGTGGCTGACCACCCACTTGAGGATGCTGGAGGCCACTGTGCGCCGGAAGTCGTCTGAAAGGACACCAAGGCTCGCCCCCTCTGCCTGCACTGGGGACCGGGGACCTCTGCCAGTGCCAGCCCTCCTCAGCCCAGGCGTCTCACAGCCTGCGGGGCCTCACTTCCTGCCTCACAGCCCTCTGAGGGGCAGGACTCCCCCACTGCCCCCTCTGCCCCCAGACTCCACCTCCAACCCCGTCCTTCTGCCCCCCACCCCTCTGCCAATGGGAGTCTAAGTACACCCCTGGGACCTCCACCCCAGCGGCTCACCCGCCCTGTCCACAGGCCCAGAGGCAGAACTCACATGCCCCCTTCCCTGCCCCTCTCCTGCCCCCCAGGGCCACAGTCCGTGGGCACCCTCACCACATCTCCCTGCTCCCTGTGTCCTCAGCCCTGCACCAGAGGGACCCTTCTAGAAGCTCCCCTGCTGACAGCACCAGGACCCTCCCCATCCTGGAAGCCTCTCTGGACTCCCCTCTCTGCAGATGGCCGGGAGTCCCACCGTGCCCACCCAGCACAGAAGGCAGCTCTGGGTCCCGCAGGCCCGGGCTTGGGGCCCAGCCTGGCTCTCAGTGCCCGTCGTCTGCCAGGGCAGGCGGCCAGCACCTCTGTGATCGAGCCCGTGCCATGAGGCCTCTCCCCACTCCAGCTCCAGACTGACCATGCCCTCTCAGAGGTCTGCAGGGATTCCAGCACCTTCTCGCCCAAACCTGCTCCTTCCTCATCTCAGCTGGGGCCGCCCCACCCAACATCCGCCTGCCCAGCAGTTGCTGCCACCCTGGAAACATCCAGAACCTGAGCTCCCCTCGCTGGCCGCTCACCAAGCCTCTTCCCTCCATCAGAACAGATGCCCCTGAGCTTGCCCCTGACCCCCAGCTGCTCTGCCCCGTGGACATTCAGGCACACTGCCCGCGCCGGGCTCGCCTGTCCGCTCCCATGGAAGTCCCTGGACTAGCCCTCACCACGTGAAACAGAGCTGAGCCCCCAGGCCTTAGGATGGGACCAGGCCCTCCACCATCACCCACCGCACCCCCAGCCCCAGCCCTGCGGCTGAGGCCGCCCCGCCTCCCTTCCCAAGGCTCCTGCAGCCACCTCAGCAGAAGGTGGACCAGAGAGGCTGCTGCCCACCGTCCTGCCCCAGGTGGCCTCCACCGGCCTCCAGCCACTTACTCTGGAATTCCTGCTGCTCGCTCTCGGTGCAGAGGCCATAACATCGCGGGAAGAAGGAGTCGGGGTTGTCCGAGGCGTACCATGGCAGGCTCCGCATGTTCACGCACAGCCCTATCTGCAGGGACAGTGGCACGTCAGGTCCCGCAGGCCGGTCAGTCCATCTCAGACCAGCCTGAACGCCCGCAGGCCTGGCTGGGCGGCGCCAGCTCCAGCGGGCTCCGAGGGGGTGCACCTCCTGGAGCGGACCCCTCCCCAGCCTCCCAGCCCCTCCTGCCCCCCCAGCCAGCTGGTCCTAGCAGCCAGATGACCTGATGTGCAGGCCAGAGCCCTGGCTCATCCTCTGGTCAGTGGCAGGAGCGGCAGGCCCAAGGGGGGCGGGGGGCCGTATGAAGGTGCCCAGGGTTGTGGGCTTTGCATTCACCCCCCAGGTCCCAAATGGTGCCTGGCTCAGGCCCAGGAGAGGCGGGAGCAAGCAGGCGGGTCTACAGCATGGTCATGCCCACCACTCTGGCCTCATGGACGTGATACTAGTTGTTAAAGAGGCCTGGCGGGAAGGCCTGCACCCAAGGGTCCAGCTTGTCTCCCTGTTTGGAAAAAAGTGCCAAGCGCCTGGGAAACGCAGTGCCTACTGGCCGCCAGGCACACTGGCGACTGCTCCACACGGGGGCTTTGCAGGGAGCCCGGCCTGACTGGGCTGGCTGCAGGTATCGATCACACCCCCAAGGACGCCAGTGGCCCCAGGCCTGGCGAGGATGCATGGGGGGCCAGACTCCTACAGGGGCAGCCACCAGGGCAGCCGCGAGCCCCGGCCCTGATGCCCCATGTCAGCTTTGCCTATTGAGGGGATGCTCCCTGTTGCCAGGGAAGCCCCGCTCCCCAATCTCTCTGGAGCAGGTGCACACAGGCCCCTCTGTCCTGCGCTGGCCCCAGCCCTCCAGGTAGACGGCGGATGGCTGCCCCCAGGAGGGGCTGTGCGGCTGAAAGGAGGTGCGAGTGGCAAGTGCCCAGCGTGGCAGATGCCATGTCAATGCCTCGCTGCAGATCCCCTGCCACTGGACGTCCCAGTGCAGCTGAGGGTGGCCCGCCCCTGGGACACAGAGCCCCTCCTGGGCCAGAGCCTAGTCGGGCTGTGGTGGCCACCTCCCCCTTCCCCATCTTAGGCTTGGCCTGTGTGCACAGAGGAGGGTGCTTATGTGGCCTCAGGGCCTCCCAGGGACAGGGCAAGGGCCGCCTGTGGTTCCAAGGGGCAGTGGGTGGGGCAGGTGCTGAGCGACTCTAGGCACTGATGCTGGGCAGTGGCCATGGCCTCTGGCCGGGCCAGCAGGAGGCCCGAGGCCTGGGGAGGAGCCCCGAGGTGACCAGTCCATGCGTGGCTCTCCCAGCCACAGGGCGCTGGTGTTTCAGGAAGCGAGGGGCTGCCCCGCACCTGCTCCCGCCGGCCTCCCCACGCCTCCTGCTCACCTTGGTGGTGAAGGAGGCGGTCTTCCAGTAGTGATTCAGCATCTGGTCACAGTTCAGGCTGTGATAGTCAATGACATCCCTTTTGATGGTCCAGAGGAAGTATGGCATTTCATTTTTTACCAACCTGGACTGGCAAGAAAAAACCTTTATCCATACCCAGCACTTAAGGTTCACATCCTTTGACAGTTAAGATCTAACTGAGAGTGAAGGAAACCAGATTTTAAACGACGTGCAGATTCTAACTGTGAAGCTGCCATCTGGACTGCAGCCAACGCATGTCCCTCGAGGGCCTGCTGTGTGCTGGGCATGGGAGCAGCTGCGACTGCCGAGGGTGTCTGCTCTCAGAAACAAGCCCCGGACTCAGGGCTGCGAGTGGGGTCTGAGCTGCCCGCCCCCTGGGTGCCTCCGTCCAGCCCAGGGACAGGCCTCGTGTGGATATGGGTGAATGTGTTGCTTCCTGACCTGGACCCCTGGGAGACGGGCTCCTCCCCTGCCCCCACTCCCTCAGAGCAGGAGGCTGAGGCCCCCCAGAACGCAGGGGCCTCAGGGTGGGGCTGAAGCTAGACTGGGGTGTCCTGGGTGACTGTGTTTACAAACAATGGCACGTGTTTGGCCAAAATTCTAACCAAAGAGATGCAAGGAAAGGAAAATATTCTCCAAACTCCTACCCCCAAGATGACCCCTGACCCAACACCCTGAAGACCCTACAGGGTCATCTCTGCAGACCAGTGTGCGTGGACACACCTACGTCCTGCCACATGGACCAGTCTACCTCGACCCCCAGGTCACGCAGGACTGGGCTCCGCCCACCCCTCAGACGAGGGCCCTGGGACTTGGCGCCAGGGCACCTCCTAAGACTCGTCCTGGCTGCCTCCCCGCGTGCCGGCCCAGCCTTTCTTTCTCCCGACTCTAAGGGCGGCATCTGCAGCTTTGTTGCCACCGTGTCTCACTGTTAACGTGTGTGATGAACTCTCTCAGAGAACAGTATGAAGAGCAGCGGTTGGCAGGCACCGAAGGGGAGAAACAGCTGACGTTGCTGCCCACCCACCCACCTGCAGGGACGGCTGCCTAACCCGGCCCCCCACGCTCTGCCCAGAGTCACATGGGGCCAACTGTTACAGAAACAAATCAACTCCGGAACTTAAGACGTCCGACTGTGCGCGTCGGGCTGTTCAGGTTTTGCCCGTTTTTCTATTTGATTGTCTTTTGTTACCAATGTGTGAGTTCTTTACGTGGTCTGGATATTAGATCTTTTAAATTATGCATACTGTAAATACCTCCCCCACTCCTGCTTATCTTTCTGCCTTTTTTTTTTCTTAAAGCGATTCTTTTCTGATTCCCTTTGGTGGTTTTTTTTGTTTTTTTTTTTATTTTTTATTTTTTTGAGGAAGATTGGCCCTGCACTAACATCTGTTGCCAATCTTCCTCTTTTTTCTTTTTTCTCCCCAAAGCCCCAGTACATAGTTGCATATCCTAGTTGTAGGCCCTTCTAGTTCTTCTATGTGGTATGCCCCCTCAGCACGGTTTGATGAGCGGTGAGTAGGTCCTCGCCCAGGATCCAAACTGGCGAACCCCAGGCTGCCGAAGCGGAGCACGCACACTTAACCACTACGCCACCAGCCTGGCCTTGCCTTTTTTTTTTTTAAAGCTTCAGTACATGGGGTTATGTATCCTAGTTGTTAGTTTAGTTCTCTGTGTTAGCCGCTGCCACAGTATGACAACTGACAGACGGGTGGTGTGGTTCCATGACTGGAAACCATCCTGGGCCACGGCGGTGAGAGCCCTGAATCCTAACCACTAGACCACCAGGGCTGGCCCCCTTTCTGCTTTCTTAATGGCGTCTTTTGAGGAACAGGTGCTTTTATTTGTAATGTAGTCGAATGTATCAGGTTTTCTCCACAGTGAGTGCTTTTGGTCTTGTTTTAAATTTCTTCCCTCCTGTCAAGTCACAAAGCAACCCTCGCTCTCTTCTGAAGCTGCACAGCTGTCTCCTGCGTGTGTCATGAGGAGGGTACACTCTTCCCCGTGTGGACATCTCCTTGTCTCAGCACATCTCCGGCAGGTCCACCTTAGCCAGCTGATCCGCCACCCTGGCCAACATCAAGGTCACAGGAGCTTGGCACTGTCTGGGACCCTCTTCTGCTCTGTGGTTGGAGTGTATAGCCAGCACAGTGCCGTCTTCACTACCGCAGCCTCACAGAGGGAGAGGCATGCTCTCCCATATGTTCTTCAAGAGGCTTGGGCTGTTTTGAGCCCCCCACAAAATCTCCACCAAGTTACAGACACAGCTTGTCCACTTACACATGGGAACACAGGGACGCACACTCGCAGACACAGAGAATCGGGGACGCAGAGACACACACGCATGCACACACATGTCTGTCGGCGGTCAAGAGGCTAACATGACCCTGGCTTTGTCGGCCCTCCCCCAGGACATGGGCACCGACGCAGGGAAGAGTGTGAGGAAGCACTGTGAGGTCACGGCTCACCATAGGCCCCTCGGGGAGCTCAGCCTGGGCACCTACCATCACATCATGGATGTCCTCTGTTTTCTCCAAAGCCACGTCTTCATTTTCTTTGCCTTCCGCACGTTTATTTTCTGCAAACACAACACACGGGAGAGACGTCAGAGCGTCACGGCCTGAAGGCCTGACCATAGCCACACTCACTACGGCGCCAGCTGCCACCGCCAGGGCCAGCACAGCACTTGCTGACTTCTGAGCAGCCTCGTCTCCGGGTGCCCTCTGTGGGTCCTGAGAGGAGCCAGGCTGAATCAGGCTCAGGCCACATCCACCCATCTGCCAGCTGCTGTCCCAGGGCTGGGGGACCCCGGGGCGTGAGGAGTGTAGACAGCCAGGGGGCGAGTGTGTGGAGAGGCACAGGGACGCAGCACCATGGGGGGGTGGCTGTGGGTCTCAATGACTGTGTGGGAACTGGCCCCGTGCAGACCCCAGAGCCAACAGGACACAGGCACTGTGTGCAGAGCACAGTAGGGGCCAGGGAGGACCAGATGAGGGGCCAGGGTGCAGTCGCACTGCAAGAGGCTGAGGAGTGACCAGTGGGGAGCTGGGGCCGGAGAAGGGACGGTCAGGATGCGGACAGTGGGGACACCAAGGAGTGACCAGTACCAGGGTTTGAGAGCGCTTTCCCAGTACATGGACACCTGGGGTCAGGGAGGCTGGGAGGGTGACCTCTGGGGTGGGCAATGGGGTCCTCTGTCCCCCAAGGGAGACCCCAAGACACGCTGGGGGAGGCCCAAGTCACAGGACCTGTGGGACCGTGACAGCATCCCTCCCGGGCAGTGGACTCACTTCTGGGTCCTCGTGACAGAGACACACAAACGTCTGACACTGAAAGACAATCGCCTTCGATACTCTACCTGTCGCCCCTGCACTGTCATCCTTGACATTCAGAACGACCTTGGGCAGAAAGTGGAACTTCTTCTCCACCCAGCCCTTCCTCCGCAAGGCAGCCCGGATCACCGGGTAGTGTCCGTAGATGGAGAAAATCTTCCTTTCCTCAAATTGCAAGAGCATATTTGAATTAAAGAATTGAAAAACAAGTTAATTCTCTCTCTGTAGGAGGGGTTTCAAAGCAGGAGACAGACTGCACCGGCGGGAAGACACCCACGCGCTGCTCCCAGGAACACCCAAGAACACACAAACACGGGTGTGCCGGGCCAGGGCAGCCACTGGGAGGGCCCAGTGTGTGCGTCTGCTTCCTCATGGGGCCTTGCACACACAGGCCTTGCACACTCACACTCACAAAGGCTGGGAGGCACAGCACAACCAGGGCCGTGGGCACTTCCCGAGATGCACTGGGAGCAATCCAGCTCAGGGCAAGTCTGGACCCGCGATGTGGGACAGAGGGGGCCAGGCTGAGGGCGTGTGCTCTCAGCTTTCTCATCTCTAGAAGTGACTGTCCCTGGTGCTTTGTGGGGCTGTGCCCGAGGTTTGAGGAAGAGAGGGAGGCAGGAGCCATTCAACTGAGAGGTGCCAACAGCCAGCAGCACAGGGCCAGCCCCAGGGCAAGCTGGGGACTCCACCCGTCACTGTGGAAATGAGCTCAGCTGCCTGGGGACGAGGCAGGGACATGGCAGCTGGTGGGGTATGCCTCGGCCTCCCCAGCTGAGGGACAAGGGCAGGAGAGGAAACAACATGCTGGAGCCCCGGGCAGCCAGGCTACTGAGGACACAGCCTGGACAATTCACCTGGGCAAGGTCACAGGGAGTGGCAGCTGCAGGACAGAGTCAGGAAACAGGCACATGGTCGGCAGTGAGCTTAGGGCCTCATGAGTTTGTGGGAGCAGGCAAGGAGGTCAGGGCAGCAGGAGGAAGTGCCTCAAACTCACTGGGGTCCTTAACTAGTTGACTTTAAAGTAATAAAAAAAAGACAGATATCTTGGGTGTGCCTGACCTAACCAGGTGACCCCTCAAAAACAGGTCCAGGCTTCCCTGAAGTCAGAGAGTCAAAGCAGCAGAGACTCTCCCCTGCTGCTGGCTTTGAAGAAGCAAGGTGCCACGGGTTCTACAGCCACAAGGAAAGTAATTCTACCAACAAGCTGAGGGAGCTTGGAAGTGGATCCTTCCCCAGTCGAGCCTCCGGGTGACCCAGCCCGGCCAACACTTCATTTCAGCCTTGAGAGACCCGGAGCAGAGGACCCAGCAGGGCTGTGCCTGGACTCCTGACCCACAGAAATTGTGAGATAATTAATGGGCTAAGTTCAAGGTGATTTGTTACACAGCATCGATGGCTAACAGGTCTCAATGGGAGGACATACATGCACACATCGGGAACACACACCAAGAAAGCTGGTGCCTGTGGCTGGAAGCTGTGAGTCCAAGTTCCAGCACCCACACAAGACCTGGCAGGTCAGAGGGCCTCCCTGAGCCTCTTCCTGCTTGGAAAATTGGCCCAAAGCCTGCCCTCGCCCCTCAGTGGGGCCGTGCATGGGGATAAGAGGCATGTGATGAGCCTGATTCACAGCAGAGGCAGCTCCAGCAAGGCCACTTGGCTGCCCTCAAGACTCTGCTTAATTGTAGTCAAATTGAACAACTTCAGAAAAATTGATTAATTTCGATCTCAGCCGAAAACAATTCCTAAGGGAACTACAAAAAGAATAAAAACAAAATATAACATCTCTAACATATAAGAGAGGGGAAAACGGAATTTTAAAAAGTAATCAGTCAACAAGAGGCATGAGAGGAAAACAGAGCAGAGAGGACAAACCGGGTGAGAGAAATGAGAGAGAATACTCGGAATATCTGCGAAGGCTGGTAGGTTAGTTATAGAATCACACACGAGCACTCCAGCTAAAAGGTGAAGGGTGCAGACCAGATTTTTTAAAAATCTAACTCTAGGCTGTTTACAAGAGAAAACCAAAAGCACACGCCTACAGATGGGGAGGAAATAAAAGAGTCTGAGGACAAAATAGCCTTTAGGACAAATTGACATCAGTGAAGTAAAGAAAATCATTCCATAATTTTTAAAAAGGGTTCAATTCACCAGAAAGATACACCTGTATGCACCTCTTAAGAGGACTATAAATTATATAAAGCAAAAATTTACAGAACTACAAAGTAGACAAATCCACAATTTTAACAGGATATTTTGACATGTTTTCCTCAGTAAACGACAGAAGACACAGACAAAAATTCAATAAGACTAGAAGATTTGAACCACTCAAAAAACAAACTCTACCCTGATGAGCAGGAATAGAGCATCTACATCAGCTTTCACATAAATTAACAAAATGGTAGGTGTAAAGCCAGTCTGGGCACATTTCAGTGGAATAAGATTATACAGGTTACATCCTCAACCACAATGCAGTCAAGCAAAAAATCAGCAGCAAAAAAACCTAGAAAAAAATCCACAGGTACAGAAATTAAGAACTATGCTTTTAAGTCACCCACATCCATGAAAAGCAATGACATGAATTAGGAAATACCTTGAACTGCATCTCAACAAAAATACTATCAAACGAAAGCTTGTGAAATGCAGCTAAAGCAGTACTTGAGGGATGCTTGTAGCCCTATATGTTTATACGGTTTAAGGTTTCAGAAGAAAATCTGAAAATTAGTGAGCTGGTACGGGTCTATCTACTTGAAATCCCAGCAAGGACAGCGATAGGAAGCACAAAGCACATGGGGGTGCCGGGATTTGGGGTGGGGGAGGGGAATAAGAGGGGGCCGGAAGCAACTCGAGGCCATGGCGTGTCTCCGTCGTGACCGACCACATCATCTGCACATGCTGTGCTTCTCTCCGCAGGTGCGTCCGGCCGCACAGCCGAGCTCCACAGTGGGGACTGGTGGACCTTGTGCGTGTTGTGCTTCAGAAGAGAGGGAAGGGAATGAGGACATTCTCACGCACTAATGTCAGGTTTCTCACTGCTCCCACACAGTCCCAGCCTTCTGAGCAACAGCAGTCGAGCATGATAAAGATAGAGAATGCAGCCTTCTCCCCAGAAAAGGCTCTCCTGTTCTCAGGGCGGCAGACGTGGAGCCGTCTGCCCCCATATAACGAATGCAGGCACCTCCCTTATCTCCCCCAGACCCCCGGAAAGAGGGTGGCTGTGCCCGCTGCCCCACGTGAGCTGCGAGGGTCATAACTTCCGAGTTCCCCTCCTGTGGTGCAAACTCCGTCTGCACACACAGGTGCATCTGTCCCCACGGTGTCACCCAAGGGGCCTGGGGCATGGGGAACGATACAAGAGGCTGTGCGAGTTGCTGAGTCTGTCCCTGACACAGACACCTCGTCTGGGATGTGCATCACGGTGGGGCCGCACGCCGACTGCGTGCATTTGTGGGTCTGCACTTTTCGAATTTTGAAAGCACTACCTATTTCAAAAGTACAGCTGAAACACAAAGTAACTCTGGTCCAAGCCTCCACTGAGGCCTGGACTGGGGGCCCAGGGCAGGAGCCACGGTGTCCACAGCCCGGGAACCTTGGCCAAGGAGTGTCAGAGGCGAGGGATTTACTCTCCACACTCCAAAATAAATTTCTCTTGTTAAAAAGTACTCCCTCCCCATCGAGCCCAGAAGAACATTTACCTTGATTGCTCTTTCTGTTAATTGTCTTGCTATTTTGTATCTGTCTAATTTGGAGGAAGAAGTCAAGTCTTGTGAAGTTCCTGGTTTTAATTCTGCAAAAGAGAAACAGACATCAAGGCACAGGAAAGAGGCCTGAGAGCGCTCTACACAGCAACATTCGGATGGGGAGACACCAGGCCTAATCACAAGGGTTCCACCAGTGTTTCCACCCGCCCACACACCTGTCACCTGCTCTGTCCTGAGCAGACCTGGGGGCCGACTCAGGGTGCCCACAGCCAGGAGCAGCCAATGCAGCCCTCCTCCGGCCTTGGCTCACACCCCCAGACCCTCCTCCTGCGTCTCTTCAGCCCCCTCCCCAGGCTGCAACCCCCTGGCCTCGCCCTTTCTGTGTCCCCCGCCCATGTTCCCCTGCAGCTCTGGCCTTGGGGCACCCTCTCTCCTCACCGGGCTCCCCATCCGCTGTGTGGCCACACGACGACCCCCTCAGCCTCCGCCTGGGCCAGCCTCCCCACCACCAGCCCCCTCTCGGCTCCTTTCTCTGACCCTGGCCACTAGACTCCCCTCAGCACATACCAAGTGTTGTAGCATCCACCCTACAAATAAAAATTAAAACCCTCCTCCCTGCACTCCACACCCTTCCACACCCCTCCTCCCCACACCCCGTCTGCTGGGCTCCACCACAGACGCGGCTCATGCTAAGGTCACGCACGCACAGGCCATCCTATGGTCACTCCCCTGGGTCCTGGCCTCCAGCTGGCAGCCCCTCCTCCCTGGGATCCTGCTTCCCCCTCCTCACTGTGGCCCATTCTCTCTCCTCACGCCTTAACCGTGGAGGTACCCAGGCCTGGACCTCACACCTCCCTGCGTCGCCATCCATGCCCACTTCCTGGGCCATCTCATCCCGTCTGGTGGCTTTAAATACCACCATGCCGATGCCCTGGAATGCACGTATTCCGCCCAGACCACCCGACCTCCCCACGCCTCCTGGACCCACGGTCTCTGGATGTCGAACGAACGTCACAGGTGGGACAGGCTGGCAGCAGACCCCCCATCTACCCACCCCTGCTCCTCCTGCAGCCCCTCCACCCCATGGACTCTGGATCCCACATCCACACGGCCAACTGATTGAGACTGAAGTACCAAAGCAACTCAGGACGGAAGGTGCCACGACAGCCACGCGTCCACACGGGGAACGTGAACCACAGACCGACCTGACAACACACATAGTTGATGTGAAGTGGATCACAGGCCTAACGGGGAAGCTAAACACACAAGGACTTACAATCTCAAGTCATATAGAGTCTCGAGATGGCACAAGAGCACTAACCATACAAGTTAGAGCTGGTGGATCCGACGCATCAAAATTGAAACATTCTTTCTGCTAAGAAATGAAACGGTCGACCACAGACTGGAGGAAATAGTCACAGTACAGACATCTGACAAAGCCAGGCACAAGGGCGTACCGAGTGACTCATGTGAGTGAGGTTCTGGAGCCGAGGAAGTCACCTCCAGAGACAGAAACCAGAGGAGAGTGTGGGATGGGATGAATAGGCTAACAGCTCTGCCTCAGAGCAGACAAAACAGGGTTAGCAGAACAACCAGGAGAGCAAATCAAAGCCACAGCCACGCCGAGGACGAGACTGCTCTCAGGAACTGATGACAAAGATCGGTGAGGACACGGATGTGAACATGACAGTCAAAACTGCATGTCCCGGACGCACGCCGACCACCTCACTCAACAGCTGCCGGGCACCTTAATTCCAGTACACAGGGGACGTTTACTAAAACCGACCACAGAGAAGGTCGCAGCAAATTTCAAAGGGGTTGTGATCACACAGATCTGTCCCCTGATCACAGAGCCATGAAGTCAGGAATCAGGAATAGAACAAAGTATCAAACATACTTCTGAACAACCCATGCGCCAGAGAAGAAGTCACGATGGAAAGTGCTGCGTATTTCTTAACTAAATGATAATGAAAATACCAATTATGAATTCCTGTGGGCCGCAGCTGTGTTTACATAGAGACTTTTAGCTGCATATACTAGAAAATAAGAAAGGCTAAAAACAGCGAGCTAAGCATCCATCTCAAGACTTGAGAAAGAACACAGTAAATTTAAACCCAAAGAAATTATAAGAAAATTATTAGAGAAGACATGAATGAAATTATTAAAAATTAATAAAGAGGACTAACCAAGCCAGGGTTTAAGTCTGATAGAATTAATGAACGACTGGTGAGAGGGACAAATGAAAAAGAGAAAAGGCATAAAAAGTAATAACGGGACAGGGAAACTCTTTAGATGTTTAAAATCTAAGAGGATATCATGAATTTTTATGGCAATAAATTAGAAATTTACACGAAATGGACAAATTCCTGGAGAAATACAAATTACCAAAACAGATGCAAGAAGAAATAGAAGATATATATAATACTCTACCTAATACAGAAACTAAATCTGAATTTTAAATCCTTCCCATAAGGAAAACTCCAGGCTAATGGCTTCATGGGCGAATGCCACCAGCATCTAATCCCACACAACTCACCCCGGGAGTAGAAAGAGCGGGGCCATCCTGACACGTCACAAAAAGGTAAGATCACAGCCCATGGGGACTCACACACGGATGACAAAATCAGACGGAAATGATGAGCAAAGGACACCAGTGACACAGACAGGGCACCAAGTCACGGCCAGCTTGGGCTACCCGGAGGCTGGATTGAAAACCAAGCATTGTAATTCACCAGATGAAGGGAAGAAAGAAAAATTGTAAATTCCATCTCAGCAGATACAGAAATATCTTAATAAACCTTAATTTCCATTCTGGCTGAAGACTCTTGGTGGGCTAGGAAGCACATAAACAGCCTGGCAGCGACTGCCCAGCACCCAGATTTTGGTTTCTAAACCCCACCCTGCCCCCCACTGGAGGGGACCAGAGCTCTCTGGACTGTGATTCCTGGTCTGGGACACTGGAAGCCCCAGGTGCTCTCAGGGCATCGTGGGGCACTTAAAGACCTGGGGGGACAGCAAAAACACGGAGAAACGGCTTGAAGAGGCCGAGAGGGCCAAGTGGAGACCACAGAGCGTCACAAAATATGATGGCGACTGACTGTACAGGCGTCAGAAAGATTCTCAAGAGTGAGAAAGCTCACCCGAGGCCATGGGAGATGCCGGATATGCCAACACCTTCCCTGGAAATCAGTAACTGAGGGGAAGAAATAGCACCTGAGCAGACCTTCTGGAAGGATCTGAACCTCGCTGAGGCCAAGGAGGCCTGTGGGGAGGGAAGCTCTTTTTCCAGAGAGCAGCTGATCAGCTCGTCAGTGTCGGAGAAAGGCTGCAGAGCCCCAGGAGGAGAGGGGGCACTGCGGGAGCTGTGGTGGCCAGGGTGGTTCCCAGCGGAGTAGTGACCACGTCCCCTGGCCAGGCCTGGGTTCTTCACAACCCCAGCACTGATCCAGAATTACTCTCCAAGCAACCTCCTGCGCCCTAATCCCATCTCAGAAGGATTCTCCAGGGAACCTCCTGAGGCAGGGGACTCGGACAGGTGCCAGGTGCCAAAGCACCACCCTTCAGAGTGGCCACGGGAAACGCAGGCCTGGCCAGCACCGGCCCAGTGACCAGTCATGGCACTGACGATGGGATGGCCAGACACTGTGGGCAAAACTAGGTGACAGCACCACCTCTGAGGGAGTCTCGGCAAGACTTAACCCAAAGCCATGGGGCTCTGCATCCCACCTCCAGACCACGAGGTGCAAGCAGGGAACAGAGGAACAGGTCACACACTGCCACGAGGCAGTGCCCAGGCGAATCCCCAGGTGGGACCCTCCAGAAACAAGAGGCTGTCCTCACCAATAAGTCAACACCTTGAAAACCCCAGACAAGAGGACTGGCTAGTCTAGATTAAAAGACAAAACAACCTAATGCAATGTGTGGTCCTTGACCAGATTCTGATTTGAACAAAACAACAGGAAAGTCATTTGGGGGAATATGAATATATTCTGGTTATTGAGTTTTATTAAGGAATTATTGTTCATTTTATTGAGTGTGAAAAATGTTTGGTTATGTAATAAATGTCATTTTTAGAGATACATCATAAATATTTAGACACATACTAATATTTATTTAGAAAATATTAATAAAATTTTAATAAAATCATTATTAAAGACAAAAGAGAGACATTCCATGATACGAAAAAGATGAGTTTGTCAGTTAGATTAAAAAATTCCAAATGTATATATACTGTGGAAATTAATAAAAGAAACCTCAACTAGGTTGGAGTCGGGAAGGCCTGCAGGGGGAGCTCTCAGCCCCACCACACACAGTCAATTACTCAAAATAGGAAGAGACAAACTTGCATCTTCCTCAGGAGGCACAACTATTTACTACTGAAGGAAGATTTCCCTCCCTGCCCAGCAACAGCACAGCCAATGAGAAATGCTGCAGCTCAGCCAATCAGAAATGCCACAGCTCAGTCAATCAGAAGTGCATCAGCCAATGAGAAACACTGCAGCTCAGACAATCAGAAATGCCACAGCTCAGCCAATCAGAAATGCTACAGCGCAGCCAATGACAAACACCGCAGCTCAGCCAATGACAAACACTGCAGCTCAGCCAATGGGAAACACTGCATCTCAGCCAATGAGAAATGCCACAGCTCAGCGAATCAGAAATGCCGCAGCTCAGCCAATCAGAAGTTGCTGCCCTGAACTGTCACTTTGGCCCAATGGACTTTCCTTTAGAACAGCCCCTCCTTATTCTGCCTTTTTCTCTATAAAAGCAGTTCCCATCCTGTTTGTTGGATCTGCCTATGGTTCTCCATAGCATGCACATCCCAAATTGCCATTCTTTTAGCTATTCCTGAATAAACTCATTTTGAGGATAAAATAACAGGCGAATTTGCTTTTTAAATTGACAATACTTAACGACAGAGCTTCAAGGCATATAAATACACAAGTTGACAAAATTGAAAAAAGAAAAGACATGGAAAATTCACAACCATATTGGGATATTCTAACCTGCTTCTCTCAGTAAATTAAAGATAAAACAAACAAAGAATCAGCAGCATGTAGCAGACTTGAACTTCAGGATTAAGCGA